CGAGACACTCCCAGTTTATCAGCCTCTTCTATTCGAGACAAACTTCTTAAATTTTAACTTGTCGCGTGTGTCTGTGTGACGCAAAATTTTGGGCGAGGTAGAAGCTACGGGCTAGCTCCATGTGAAGAGATGTGGCAAAGTCCGGCTTTGTTTTATCGAACTTCGAATCGAGAACGTTCTATATGCGGATCCTTTCCTTAACGAGACTGTCAGAAGCAATTAACAAGTAGTTTAGTGTCAAGAGAGCGGAGTAATTTTTGTCTCACGAGTCATGGACTGAGTTTTATGTCACTTATGCCATCGATACATTCAAAATCGGATTTCTCGACGAAAAGGGGGCAGACACAGGAAATGGAATATTGCGAACGTTTGTGTTATAGAGATTTTTTTATAACTTCTGCTTGCTGCCTGCATAATTTTGTGATCAAATCATAAATGTGTGGAATTTTGAAAGCCACTTGCAGTTCAAGGAACATTGTGCGCCTTGAAACATTACCAATGATGCAGAAGAACATTTTTGTAGGATCTGCTATTTCAGAATATGGGTTTATGCCGTAAATTCCCACGCGGGGCAAGTCAGAATGCGCGACAGCGGAGATTTTCTGTTTCCACCGACAGATAGACCTAATGTCCGTTCCGTGGAATAAACTTAACACTTTGCAATCTGACATCGGTCTAAAGAAGGGTGAAACCACCATAGACAAGTTTGGAGTTGATAAATCGTGTGTATCACCACAGTAAAGCACGAGTAGTGCAAAAGATTTTGTATATTTGCCGTGCAGGCGAAACAGCAGCGAACTACTGTGGAAAGTATGTTGTAACAGTGAAACAGATTAACTAAGAGAGCACAAAAAATATTATATAAAGTTAAAGATTTTTTATACAATGTCCTCTTGCACGGCCAAAGTCAAATATTTTCTCTTCAGTAACAGACATGTCTCATGTCTTTTAAGGTGTTGACGAGTCATAGTTTTTTGTTGTATCACCGTCCAACTCGTTATTTCACACATGCTGTAGCCCCGCCAGTGAGGTTAAGTTTTATTATGTCTCTGGGTAATTTGGTTGGTAGCACAGACGAGATGATTTGGATCAGAAGATGTTCAAAAACATTATTTATTTCGCCAAGGTGTGTTTAGACACGCTTCAAATCGAACACGGAGTGGAGATGGGAACTAGGTGTTAAATTTTAAATTTGGAGCAATTTGGATCTCCTTTCGTTTCATATAAATCGGAATAGGTGCCATATGTCCAGCTTACGATTATCTCGGGGTAGCCTGTCCGGAACCGAACTCAGTACGGATAATTGTTTTGGTAAATTTGGCGGGTTGGATTTTTTATTTATTGTAGCGCATGATATTATCTCTGATAAATCGCATAGATAGGTTTGCATCATTTGGGACATGCATGTTTGGATGCTACCTTGTGTGCTTTCCTCTGGTGACAAAGAACTTGGGATCGAAGGAAACGTAATGCATGTCTAAACCATCAGCTACTTCGGAAGAAGACACATGACTTGACCCCTGAATGTAAAAAACGCTGGATCATGGATGTAAATTTAAGGTTACAATAGTTACTTATTTATTTTCTTTATTCTTGGCAAACACTTAAATAAATTAATTGAATTGAATTGAATTGAAATTGCATCGTCGAAAATTCGAGTTCTATACAACACGTAAATTATGTGAACACATGAGCATCGACATAAAAGGGAACATTCTGTACTAGGGATGATACATAATTATTTAATTATCATTCGGTTTCACAGTTTTTGGATACTTTAAATTGGTCGTGACATTTATTATTTTTATTCTTTGTCTATAGAAGGAGATTAAGTCAATGCATAATGAGGAAATTTGATGCAGCATATTAACGCCTCACCTTGAGCTACATAATAAATAGGCATCAGCAGTATTACCAATCATATAATTAAAATGTTCCAGTGTTGCATTTGTTTTTAATCTACTTTATACAAACAAATTACCTAAAACGACCTTATGAAGGTTACATCTGTCGCCTACATATTTCATCTTCGAAACCACTTAACAGATTTAGATTTAATTTAGAGTTTGCGAGGGAAATACTAAAGCATACAAGAAGAATTTAACTTTAGTTAATGTAACTTAAATGTGGCATAACCCATATTTTACATGAGAATTGTCGATGTTCTCAAAATAAAGAACTTTTCACAGTAAAATAATTTGTACATGGCATCAAATACAGATCATATTAAAATTCACACTATTATTTTCAGATATTTTCCCATTGAGTCTACTTGTATTTAACAAAACACAAAGGAAAATAATTTCTGACTCTGTATGTTATGACATAAGCAATTTTTTGTGATTTATACTTCATTCATATAAATTTACCTTTATCTACAAAGAATGAACATCAATGGCAAAAAGGTAAGTAAAGTCGTAAGAGAAAATAAGTTATAACATGCAATAAACTTTTCAAATTTTATTCTTCCGATGCTTTCACTATTCTGCCCTCAGATTTCTCGTGCTGCTCACGTTATATAAACCAGAAACGGGTTTCCCTTTCATCGGCCTCGGGTTATAAGCGAGCGAGTGTTCCTGAACCCTAGAGTCTTCCTAATCACGTCGTGGTTACGTTTTGATCAACGTTACATAATTAGGATGTGCAATTCTTACATAAATCGTATATTAAATGCGGTTTTGAAGGAATTAGAAACGTGTATCATATACTGAACCAACTTGTTAATTGTGTTAAAGAATCTTTCCAGCAGAGTAAAATAATAAAGTTATTTGCGCCTGAATACCATGGCAAAAGGAGTATTTGAATCATGGAGATAAACCTTCAGTTGTTTAAAAACGATTTTGAATTTCATGAAAGCCAGGAATTAGAATGGAGACGGATGAAATCTATCGTAACCCTGACAGTCGCCTACAAAGACTGGAGAAAACCACAAATATTTCAGTCGGTACAGCCAAGTCGGGAATTCAGCCGGGCACAACTCGAGCTTAATAAATGCACCATTCTGTTCTGAGGACGCTGATTGAGACTACTAGTCTCTGAGATACACTGGGACTAACTCAGTAATGACAATAGTTGTTTTCTTGTTGAGAAGAAGCATAGAAAAAACGTATCTAAAAACAAGGAAAGTTCAACTCTTGTGAGGAATTAACGGCTTAGGTAATACAGTATAACCTCTCTAACTTGGACAGTTGCGGTTCCACGATAATGTGTCCAACTTACAGGGGTGTCCAGGATAGAGGGAAATGGGAAAATCATCCTTTCAAATTGTCGTGTAATAACAATGTGGTAATTGTAAAGTATTATGGAGCCCTTCCCAAAAAGGAAATTACTGATACGAAAAATCAAAAGGGTAAATTAAATTTTTACAAATTTTGTTTCCACTAAATTAAACTTGCATGGATAAGCTCACAGGGAAGGGCACCGATACTTTACGTTTACCGACAATGTAATCTGTTTACTTACATAATCTATCTACTGTAGGCTTGCTCGAATTAAGAATTAATGACAATAATAATAATCTTTTGAAACCCACTCTCGTGGTTGCACATTACACCCCAGCCTCAATGAAATTTTAAATGTTCAGAATGTATTTTTTTTAATTGTACTTAAGGCATTAGCTCAACATATGATGTAACTTATTTCTTGTAAAAACGTCCGTCACAAGACATTGCTTTTTTGTTTTTATCTTTGAATTTGTCCATCCTCTTTCTAATTTTCGACGCAATCCCAATAAGGTTTCAACCATTCCTTGTTGGTTATGAGCGAAAGCACACCGTTCCAATTTCTGTTAACACTGTTTAACTCAGTTGCAAGCACAGTACTGACAAAGTTAAAACTGTACCAGTAATACGTACTGTAGTCCAGTGAAGGGTTCAACAAAATAATTCCATTGATGTGTTCAAAGTCTCACACCTTCAACCATAAGGTAATCCTCAGGTAGAAGGCATTCATAAGTCATAAATTCAAAGCAACAAAATACTAACTGTAAACGTTTCCCATAAAAGCATTGAAGCTAAGTGCATGAACCTGTCCAACTTACAACAAAAGGGGTGTTCAAGTTCCAGGATAAAGGGGTGTCCAAGATATAGGGTGTTGTGGACATGTAAAATTATAGGATATTCGCCGGTTCCAATTAAAAGTGTCCAATATAGAGGGGTGTCCAGGATATAGGGTGTCCAACTAGAGGGGTTTTACTGTACCTTCATGCGCCTGCCTTCGTTTTTTATTTTATTAATTTGGTCCTGGTGTTCATAACTTGACTCTTCGTCGTAGATCGGTCCACATCACAACGGGGCTTGAAAAAATGGAGCTCTCATGTTTTGTGTGTAATTTGAACTGTCTTTGTATCTGTTTCACCTTCTTTATAGGCCCCTTTTGCAAGCTAAACACCTACATTATCATCCCAATAACCACCAGATTATCAAAATCTAATCTACATCGTCACCTCATACTATTAATACATTTATCACAAAAATGTTTCCCCTTCCAAGTTTATATATTCCGTAGTTATTCAGGACAACCTCTGTTTAATGATAAAGGATATTTCCTACCTCTGTTGTGCCATTGTTTTGGCATAACTCGCAACTTGTACCTGTGGAGAACTCTGAAATTAAATTTGAATGTTAATTTCATCACTTTGTGTGCATAAAACTAATGCTGCCTTCTCAAATTAAGGAAAATTTATTTCGCATATTACAGGGATAAAGACGTTTAGTGGTTTTGTCGAGTATATATTTTCATGAAATGATAGGTAATATTACGTTAGAATATTGTATTTTCACGAATATAATATTTTATCTTTGCATCTTATTTATTAAGTAATCCAAGATTATCTTCATTTCCTACTGTTTTACAGGTATATGGGTCAGAAACTTTGTTCCTGAGAATGAGATGACTGAGAACAAATTTCTGAGCACAATATTTTGAGCCAATATATCAAGTCGTTTTGTAACTTATTACAAAAGACTTGAAAAACTGATTTAATTCTCTTTTCTCCTCAGAGAAGATATGGAGAAAGTGAACATCAAATTTCATGACAATGGGACTGTTACCTTTCAACACAACAAGATCATGCAGTTTGTACCAGAGCTCTCTGCTGACAAGAACATCAGAGTGATTGTGCCCAATATCCCTCTGTTGGTAAGACTCCTGTATTAAAACACTGCAGTCTACATATAAACTGTTTCCTAGGATATGTCTAGTGATACAATGACCACAGTATAAATAAAACCCTATACTTTCTTAAACAGTGGCCATCTTGATGCACGATTTAAATTTCTTGGAGTGTCCAAAAATCTGGTTTAGAAACTCCAAAATTTAATGAATGTCTCCAAAAGATACAAGCTAGACGTAATTGTTTACTCCACATAAGTTACGTAAATATCATCAACGAACATTTGTTGCATCATATCTGATGTCTGTGCTAAGGCGACTGACTTTGATCTACTATTTTAAAAGTAAAGTTAAGTAAGAGCCAGTCTGTTATAAGATAATAATGACTTGCGATGCAATGACTTGTAATAATGATTAAACGTTTACGGACATAGAGATTATATTGGCCTTCTTCTAAGATACTGATGATCTTGATCTTGATCATGATCTGAGACCTTGCAATGTGCCAATCTCAGTAGGAAGTTCTAACAAAGGTCTGACTAACCAACTAACGGGTATTCGAAAGTCATTTTTTCAATGGCATATATATCCCGACTCTGTAGGAATCTGAGAGACAAAACTCATGTCAGTTTGAGGTAACGTATATATCATCGTCATGTTAGAGTCAAGTCAATGTAAGTCCAAGGGTTTGCAGGATAGAGAACGTTTAAATTTTCACGGGTATTCGAAAGTCAATTTTTCAAAGGCATATATCTCCCGACCTGTAAGAATCTGAGAGTCAAAAATCATGTCAGTTTGAGGTAACATATATGTCATCGTCATGTCAAGGTCACGTCAATGTAAGTCCAAGGGTTTGCAGGATAGAGAACTTTTAATTTTTGAAGGTTATTCGAAAGTCAATTTTTCAAAGGCATATATCTCCCGACCTGTAAGAATCTGAGAGTCAAAAATCATGTCAGTTTGAGGTAACATATATGTCATCGTCATGTCAAGGTCACGTCAATGTAAGTCCAAGGGTTTGCAGGATAGAGAACTTTTAATTTTTGAAGGTTATTCGAAAGTCAATTTTTCAAAGGCATATATCTCCCGA